TGCCTGAGTTCAAATCCTGCTTCCATCACTTGCTAGAACATGACTCAGGCCCAGTGATGTCACCTCTCTGAGCCTCAGTCTCCTCATCAGTGTGGTGGGGTTCACGTCGGCACCTATCTCGAGGGCTTGTGGCGAAGAAGGAAGGTGATGGTGCGGGCAAAGCGCATGCACAGAGCCTGGCACTTGGTCAGCTGTCACGTGGAGCCAGCTTCCAGAACCGTATGATACATGCACGGGCGCATGCACGCTCTGCTCATACCTGCATGTGCTGCCTGTCACAAGCTCTGCAGCCTTGTTAGCCCACAGGTACACGGGTTCAACCCCCAGCCCCAATGGGCTGCACACATGCAAACATGTGTCCCAGAGATGCATGTAGCCACACCCACGCACACTCACTCTGACATACCCAGACACACACACGGGGGCATGGCTAGGCCTCAGTTTTCCCTGAAGTAAAATAGTAGCACTCGCCCTGCAGGCTGAGTACTGAGGAGGTTCAGGAAGGTAATAGACGTGCATATGCATGGCCCAGTCAGCTCTTAACATCTTTGTACACACGAAACCTCCTGCTCTCTCCAGCACACGTACACCTAAGCACTCCACACACATACAGGCTCAGGGAGCCCTGATACAAACACACAACTACAGGGCCACAAGCTATAGGAAAGGCTGGGGCCACCAAAGAGAACAGGAGTGTCTTGTTCTCCATTGAGACATACCTTGGGGCCAGAGGGACCAAGTGTGACCTGAGGAAACAAAGAGAGCATTACACGTTAGGAAGGCAGAGGAAACCAGGGGCCCAGAGAGGGCAGGCAATTTAGCCAGAGTCACACAGCATGGTGGCAGGACCAACAGTCTGAATTCCAGCCCCTGCTTTGCCTGCCAGGCCAACCAGCCTGCTGACTCAATTTCCAAAAGCTATAAGACTTGTAGAGGGGTCTAATCTACCTTTTCTAACCTGCCTGTCTTTGGCTAGCTCCACCATCCTCCCCCAACTGGTGCTAGGATAACATGGCTACTCAGCTGCCGTGAAAACCCCTGCACATCTGGGGACCATCAGGCCTACCATATTTGGAGGGAGACTGGATTGAAAGAGGGGCAAGTAGTAGAGGGGCATTTCCTGATGTCCCCCAAAGTCAGGAGACTTAGAGCTTAGGGGAGCTGGGTTGTGCCCTTCATGGACCAAGGTGTCAAGTCAACTCAGGATGTCAAACTGTGGGATAGTGGTGACTCATGCTGCCCATGGAAGAGGCACAGCTGGGTCCCAGCTGGGCTCACACAGAGCCCCTCTCCCTTGCCCTTCTGGGCCCCCAGAGGGAGGTTGGGCCAGGGCAAGCTAGAGAGGGATAGGAGGCCCCAAGCCAACATGTGGCTTTGGGGGCCAGTGCCGGGCTGTGCAAGCCTGAGCCAGCCCTTCACCTTCTCTAGGCACATGATGACATGAGAAGCCTTCCAAGCAAAGCAGCCTGAGACCTCGTGAGGAGTGCAGAGCTGGGCTCCGCAACCCAGCCCCGACCTCGCCAGCCACCCCACACCCATTCCACCCTGGATCCCAGTATGCTGCCCAGATCATAGGGAAGGCTGCTTCCTTCCATGCAGCCCTGGCTTGGTGGGGATGTGGCGGAGGGGAGGACCGGGCCCAGCTCTGGGCGACGGGAAGGGAGGGAGTGGGAAAGTGCACAAAAACCTCCTTGTCCTCTACCAGGAAGCTGCCAAGCCAACTCTAGGCAACGCCTACTCCCAGCCCTCGCCCACGCCACCCTGCACACCCTCTATTGGCTCACATTGCTCTCCTGGGCACCATGGACACAGGGTGGGCACTGAAAGGGAAGAACAGGCCAGGGGATCAATTCTGAGCCCCCCAATCCCACTCCATTCCCTCCACCACCATCAAGCCCACAGAACATCACATGTCTTGGGTGGAATCTAAGGGGAGCAAGAAGATAGGAATCCTATAAATAAGTTTTGCCCCTCACTTCCCACCAACCCAGATCTACAGCCATTTTTCTGATGAGGAAATGGAAGCCCAGAGAGGAACAGCTGGCGGCCCTGGATCACACAGCACTGTTGGGGTAGAGGGAGGCCCAGAATGCAGGGGAACCATGGCTGGGCTCTCCCCATGCTGCCCGTGGCCATTTGCTGCCAAGTCAGCAGGACTGTCCTCCAGGGCTACCTCCCACCCCCCACAACCCAAGGAAAGGCAGTGGGCAGATAGGGCTCAGTACTGGGGTCCCAGGAATTCTGGGAACACCCCCATGCCCTGGCTCTGTGCCCCAAAGCCTGGCCCAAAGGATTCATGACACCTCCTCAACTGAGCCCTTTTGCTGGTCCTGACAGGAGGCTTACCTCATCAGCTGCTGTCTCCTGAGGGACCTGGGAAGAGAGGGGGCATGGGAATGGGTGGGGATCTCACAGGATCAAGTACTACCCCCAACATCCCTACCCAAGAACCAGCAGGAGTGGGTGCTCTGGAGAGTGCTGGGTGCTGGGTCTGCTCACCCCACCCAGCCTTCCTTCCCAGAGCTCGCGCCTGCACGTCCTAGCTCTGTCCAGGAGTGACGGCAGTCAGAAAGGGAGTGGGAGTGGAGCATCTCATCCAAGGGGTTTATAGAGGGCAGACCGAGGGCACTGAGGGCTCCTCCCCCCACCCACCATCTCTACCTTTGTTCCCCTTTCTGCCTTCTGGCTGATTCTTCCCGTCAGCTGCGCATCCACCTGGACAGACAGAGCAGAGGGAAACCCTTGAGGAAGGGACAGTTCTGAGTCCCATGCTGAAAAGGGGCACCCATGCAGGGGACATGGACCCCAGGTACCCCCTCGGGCTGGCATCTGGAACCTCCTGGGGCATCAAAGACCTGCTCAGGGCCCTGAGCATGGCCCCTCTACTTTTCCCCCCACCCATGTGATGTCAGAGAAAACAAGGCCATGAATCAATGGGATCCTGTGTCCCTGCAGCCAAAGGCTGGGCAGGATGCCCAGGTGAGCAGAGAGACTGCCCAGCCAGGGGTGGAGCTAAGGGAGGAACCGGGCTTCCCTGCCACCTCCAAAGAACCTAGGAGAGGGCAAGGCAGCTGGCCATGGTGCTGGGCATAGAACCAGCCTGGCATTGGCCAGGGCTGGGCCCAGGAGAGTGAGCAAGGCCTGGAGGAAGCAGAGTAGCCTGGCCTCTGGCCACAGGTATCCCTGTCCTGGAGAAACAGCCTTTGGGGGAAAGTCTGGTCCTGCCCTCATCAGAAGGGTCCAGGTGGCATCAGTGAGGGTAGTGGCAGAGCTAGATGGGCATAACTCTCAATGCCAAAAGGTGGGTGGGCACAGGGTCATCCAGGGGCTGTCTCTCTGCATCCCTGAATCCTATAGGGTGGTATACAAGCAGGCGAGGCTTCCAGTGCTGGGCACATGGCCAATTGACCCTAGTGGCAGACAGTCAATGGTCTCACTTGTGCCTGCCTATGCCCACATTTGCCTGCCCTTCCCACTCACCTTGCTGTTTTGAGGCTCCTCCAGGCAGAAGCAGCGGGTGTAGACCTTGCCCTCAGTCTGTGGATTGATCTCGATGAGCTCATTGCTCTGGGTGTCCCGGCGGGCTTTGGAGGTCTCTGGGGGGCACTGCTTGGTGAGGGGAAAGAGTTAGGGTCAGTACAGAGGCAGACTCATCCTAAGACCTCCAGGCATCCCCTTCCAGACCCCCCATCTCCAACACATTGTACCCTGGGCAGGGCCCCAACCCCCCCAGTTGTGCTAGGGCCAGGCCACTCACCCCTCCTGGTGAAATCTCACAGCAGCCCTCCTCCAGCACGAGCTCTGGGTCACAGTAGATGTGCGCCTGCTGAAGGTCAAACTGCAGGGGACACAGTCAGTTTCACTTCATTTTATCAAATAGCTCTGTGTCCTGGCCCCCCGTGAAGCACAGAGATGTCTCTGCCCCAGGATTTGACCTCAGGGTGTTTCTAGTCTGGGCTGGGAGACCATCAAAAATATAGCTGTCACCAAAAGCAGAACTGCACATGCAGGAAAGAGGGAGAGGAGGCCCAGAGGAACAAGGGAAGAGGAGGTTCCAGGCAAGCTGGGCCCTGAAGGGCCAGCAGATATTCAGCAGGTAAGTATGTAAGGAAAGGCATTCCAGGTGGAGGTAACAGTGTAGGCAAAGATAGGGAGGTGTAAGGTGCTAGGTGAGCTGGATAGAGCAGAGATGCTTGGAGAGATACAAAGGAAGATGCTGTTGCAGACACTTATAGGGACAAGATCATGAAGGGCCTTGGATGCCAGGTTGATGTGTATAGGCTGCATCTGGAGGGTAATGGGAACCACGGGAGGATTCTGAGCAAGGGAAGGACCTGATCAGATACAGACACCGGGGACCTCACTCAGGCTCCCAGAAGGTGGGAGCAGAGGCCAGAGCCCGACCTAGCACTTACCAAGATGGGTTTGCCCTGCTCAGCATCCAAACCCAGAAATACATGGCCCACAGGCCGTGTGGGCCGCCGGGGCCCCAGAGGCTGGGAGGAGGCTGAGATGCAGTCTATATGCACAGAGGCCACCCGTCCAGCCACGCTCAGCATCAGCTTGTGCCAGCGCAGGTCGAAGAGCTGGGGTACTGGGAAGATGCAGGACACAAAGTCGCCATCTCTGCCCTGGGCCCGGAGCTCCAGGCTCTGCTCTTGGCTGTTAACTTCCAGGGAAATCTGTGTGAAATTGGGAAAGAGACAGGACAGAGATTTAGAGTTCTAGAGCCACAGCATGGCAAAGTCATAGGCCTTTAAGCTCATATCACAGGAGGGGAAACTGAGGCCCAGAAAGGGAAGAAAGTTGGCTGGGGTCACAGAGCAGAACATCGTGAAAGAATGAAACAGGTGCTGGGGGCTGAAGGCAGCCTTGAGTGTGGGCACTGGGAGTGGAGCAGAGAGGCCCTGGAAATCACAAGCTAGGAAGAGGTTGGGCTGAACTGGTGCTACTTGATGCCCCAAGAAGCAATGGGGGTGGGGCAGGGTTTTGGACTCACCTGTGGGTACCCAGCTCCATCGGTCACTTGAAACAAATACCACGTATTCTGGTAGGTGTGTTTTTTCAGCAGTAGTGTCAGCACCAGGGCAAACTCCTCCGGGAGGCCCCGAGGGAATACTCGGCTGGGGACAGAGCAGGAAGAGTGCTCTGAGGCTCAGGTGAAGGCCCAACTGCTGCCCACCCTGGGCCGTCAGGATTGTGCAGCCTGCCTGAGACACACACAGGCACCTACCTCCAAACACACATTCACTCATTCGCTCTCCACACATTTACTGAGTGACTTTTTTGTGCCAGGTGCAGGTCTGGCTGCTGGGATAACAGTGGTGGTAACACAGGGAAGGTGCCTGCCCTCTTGGAGCCTTCTAGTCTGATTGCGGGGTAGGGGGTATACCATAAAAAAGAATCCCCAGAATGACTATTTCACTACTGTGTTACAATGGTGGTAAGTGCTTCCAAGGAATCCCGGATGTCCTGGGGTGAATAAGTGGGCCTGGGGTGGAAGGAGAGATGCTGAAAAACAGACACAAAGGGTTCAGCAGAACTAGAGCAGCAAGAGAGAAAGAGGAATATTTTGGGGGTTGAGGATGGAAAGGTAAGAGGGGCCAGACCACCCAGGGACTTGTGGGAGTTTGGACTTCACACACTTGAGTATGCACACACACACACACACACACACACGCACACGCACACACACACACACACACACGAGACCACTCTGGCCAGGTTCCCACCCCCCATCCTAGGGCCAGACCACCCAGGGACTTGTGGGAGTTTGGACTTCACACACTTGAGTATGCACACACACACACACACACACACGCACACACACACACACACACACGAGACCACTCTGGCCAGGTTCCCACCCCCCATCCTGTGTTCTCATAGTGCCCGTAGGAAGCAGACCTGTTCCCATCACTGCTAGCCAGAGATAGGGGAGAGACAGAGGGTGAGTCTGCCAGGTAATCCCTCTCAGCCCACCCCACCAGCCCCAAAGGTGGAGTCCAGGGTGACTCCTGGCAGAGGAGGGGTGAGATGGCCGGCAGAGAGGTCCCTGCTCTTAGGCCCCACATCCAGAGTTGCTGGGGAATGTGGCAGAGGTCAGTATTGATTCCCAGTGGTCATATTGATGCCTTTACCGTGTGGGCTGGGTCAGGGGGGCTGCCCCTAGCCTTAGGATGAGAGGCCCCTTGGGGTTGCGGATCTTTTTGATGGCAGATGTCTTCATGAGGCTGAGTCGGCGTATGAGGTTGAAGCCTTTGGGGGAGACAGCAGATGGAGAGTTCACCTGGGGAGGTGAGGAGGGGTCCAGACCACTCCAGGAGGAAGGTAGGGACAGAGGGATAAGAGGGCACTCACCGGTCACATTGGCTAATAAGTCACTACTGTGTTCCAACTTGAGTCCTTCTTGCTGCGAAGGTGGGCACCACTCACCTGGAAGAGAATTGGCAGTGGGCATTAGGTGGGCTCAGGCAGGGCTAGCTGCACAGCTGGGCTCTTAGGGAATCTTAGGGAAGGAGCGAGCTTATAGTCCCCATTCTGGACCGTTAGCCAGGCCCTGCCTTGAGGCTGCTTGCACCACTTGCCCTCTGACTCTAGCTACTCGGGGAGCCAGGAAGACCCTCAGCACACAGTTGAGAAAACTGAGGCCCAGAGACTAAAGCCTGGCCCACGACCACTAAGTGAGTCAACAGCAGAGCACGACCAGAACTCCAAGCACCCAAATATCCAAATACTCCAAGTCAGGGCCAGGCCAGCAAAGAAGAGAGTAAAAGAAACTCTGGGCAACCCTAGAGCATAAATTGGGTGGAAAGCTGTGTATATGCTAGTATATGTGCCCCCTCCATGACATACACCCAGGTGGGGGGCAAAGGAGCATTTCAGGGGTAAGGAAATGTCAGGTTCATGCACACTTTGTATGTGTACAATTGCACATGCATGTTTGCACATGTATGAGTTGTGGATGCCCGTGCCACAACGGATGCCATGTGCAGCTGGTGCACGTTCTCAGCAATGGATGGGGGTTCACTTCCCGCATCCAAAACAGACAAGAAGGCCAGACACAAGTCTGAGCCAACAGAATGACTTTTCACCTGGAAAACCATCTTATGAATAACAGTGAGAAGAAACTGAAGGTCCAAGGGGACCACAAGCCCGAGGGTACCACCAGGGCTTTGTGGCTCCAGGCAGGGTATATTAAGGGTGCAAGGGCTTCTGGAGAAGAATATAGCTTAATTCAGGTCTCCAAAGCCCTGAAGAGACAGGTGAGCAACGCTGGGCCTCCCTGAGCAGAAGTGATGGGGGAGGTACTACAACAGGAGAGATAGAGGCTACAATTAAAAAGGCCTTCTCACCAATGCAGATGGAGTAACGGGGACAAGACAGTGAAGACTCCTAGAAGCTGGCATTGGACTCCCTGGCTAGCCTGGCTAGAAGAAGGAATCCTGGGTGCCTGGGCCCAGTGACCCCACTGGAGTCTCCCTCCCCCAGGTCTGGCCAGAAAGACCATCACTGTCTTCAGCATCGCAGCAGCAATTGGTGACTCACCCCTTGGCAATGAGCCCAGATTCCTTACAGATGTTGAAATTCTCTGCCCCAGCCCCCCAAGGGACCTGGTAAGGGAGAGGAGAGCAAAGCTCACGCACACTCATGCAGAAACACATGTGCACATCCAACCGGCAGGCAGTCACACCTACCCCCTATGCACAACCCCTCTCTCGGCACCTTGGTTTTCCTGCCTCCCTCTGCTGGATTTGGGTTTTAGGAATTCTGTCCTGCTTGGCTAGGTGGTTGAACCACTGAGCCCAGAGGGCACCCAGCAGGGCCAGGCAAGTTGCCGGGTCAACTTCCCCTGGCTTTGGGCCCTGGAAAGCTGCACCCTCTGTCTCATCCAGAGTCTGGGCCTCTGGGCAAGCCCTTTATCAGAGATCCAGGGCCAGCACTGGAGGAGGAGAAGCACGTGGGCTGGAGGATGGATTCCCCAACGTGAAAAGGATCAGAGGGGCATGGGCCTCTTTTGGGATGTGGCTTTCTCCTGCAGGGAGAGCTCACTGCCTGCACCTCCCCACCCCACTGGCCCTACCAGCAATGTATGTACAGGACGGGTTTATGTATTAGGGAGAGGGGCTGTTCTCTTACACACAGAGACACAAGAATACGTACAAATGCAGAGAGACTCAGAGATGTAAACATATGCAGAAACACACACACACACTCTCCGACTCACCTCACATGGGCTCCAATATACCAACACCTCAGGCCACCCTGAGCCCAGCCCCTAGACTCTCTCATAAATGCTCACATACGTAGTCACATATGTGTAAGGTCTCTGGCACCTCAGGGAGCCAGGCCCAGACCTGGGGTAACCTGACTCTCCTGTGTCATCTCACCTGTATTTGCCCCATAGCTGAAGGTGGCCCAGAGACCAAGCAGCCATAGGCCAGGAACCCAAGATACCCACATCCTGGTCCAGAGAGGTCAGCCACAGCCACAGCACCTGAAAACCACAGAGACCAGGAAGGTGGATTCCTGAGTTCACACAGCAGAACTCCACACATGGGCAAGTAGCGCCAGCCCATGGGGCCAAGGCATTAGTAATAGGGTGGCAGAAGGTCTAGCCAGGCATCAGTCCCACTCAGGGGCCCAACCACAGGCCTTGGGCTAGGATTTGGACAGGGGTGATATTCAAAATATTTAACCACCGGTATGGCACAGACACCAACCAGCCAGAGCAGAATGCTGGCCAGAGCACTGACACAGGGGCCAGGCAGCATCTGCTGTGCCAGTGGACAGTTAGTTGCTGGATTGAGAAAAGGTCTAGAGGGTCCTAGAAGGCCAGGGAAGTTGGAATAGTGAGGGGGCTTGAGACAGAGGCTATTTATCGAGACACTTGGAAGTATTTTAATATTTTAACAACTTGTGCTCTGTACTGGTATATACCAGCCGGGTACCTGGCTAACTGTACCCAGCTCAGCCCAGGCAGCCCTGCCAGGCACCCACATGGTCAGGGGCTGATGACTGGGCTGAGTCTCCTGGCAGGTATCACAAGGCTGCATGTGGGCCAAGGAAAGCTTCCCCCTTTGCATACAGGGGGCAGGGAGAGCAGGTTGCCAATGCTCAGGACCTTGTTGCCAATGTCCCCTGCTGATGGATGCTTGTCTTTTAGTTTTATTAAACCCTGATGGATGAGCCCAGATAAATCAATGCAGGCTCAGCAAGCAGCCAGCAGAGCCATACATCATCTGGCCTCCCCCAGGACAGGCAGCTCACGTGCACACACAGAGAACATGACACACATAGACGCACAGGCACATATACACACAGACACATATGTGGTACCAGTGTGCGTACAAACCTACCTGCGCACAGTCATGTTCACAGAGACACACGCTCACCGATGTACCCAGACATACCAGCTTGTACATACACACATGCACACAGCCAGCCTACAACCACCTTCGCCTAGGCCTTCCTGTTGGGAAGTTCTTTTGCAGGTCTGACCTCATTCTTTCCAAATGTAATGGAATCCTACTGCCCCTCCCTCAGTCATGGATAGGGAATGAGAACAGGAAGGACCCCTCACCCCAATATATTTGGAGATAGGACTCCAGTCCCCTTCTCCCTGGGACACAACTGTATCCCCACCCTATTCATCACCCATCCTAGTGGTGTGCACATCCCATCTCTCAAACCCTATGCTGGGCTTCCCCTCCTATCAGCCAATGGAAGGCCTGCCAACTGTAGGCGTCATGTGGGTACATGTGGAGGTGTGAACATGGATGTGCTCAAGTCCTCTTCCTGCTCCCAATCTCTGGCCTCCACTGCCCATGTCCCAGCCTGAGTGGAGGGCTACAGGGAGAGGGAGATGCTTCCAAGGAGATGTCCAACCCCGACACAGGCATAGATTTGCAGTCAGGGAGAGTCACAACCAGGATGGAATTTAGAGCTCAGCTGGCTAGAGACAACTGAGGCCCAGAGAGGGAATGCCACTTGCCCCAGGTCACACAGCAAGTCAGAGGCATATAGGGCCTTTCAGCGCAGGGCTCAGAAGCAGCCCACTCCACCCCCACTTACCGGTGGCTGGGGATGCCTCCGCCTCTCTGAGCAATCCAGGCAGCCCCTGGCAGACAGACCGGGGCAGCAGGGCCTGGGTCCTTCAGGCCTGCTGGGGGTCTTCGAACTCTCCTTGGGAGGCCGCGGGGCCCCGCTTCCCAGCGCCCCGAGCTCTCCTGGCTGAGCACAGCCACACGCACGCCTGCCGGGACTGCCGGCCACTCCGGGCGGGGGAAGAGGGGCGGTTCCAGGGGGCTGGGGGCCTGCCAGGGCCGCTAATGGAAACCAGCTGGACCGGCCCCTCAGGCGGGAGGAGGAGGCCGGGCGCGCGGGATGGGGCTCCGGCGGCGGCGGCGGCAGAGGCGGCTGGACGGTCGGTCGGTCGGTCGGTCGG